ACATATATATATATATACACATATACATATATATATACACAAATATATATAATTACATATTGTTTTGAAATTAGTGATTTTCCCTTTTTTTTAAGTTCACATATTTCTCTTACATACTAATGCATTTACAGATGTCCTGCATAACCCTTAGTGACAATAACTTGATGGATCTCAACTGAAGGAAAAGATTAGATCTCTCTTATACTGATATAGATGTTAATGCATTGCAAGGAAGAGAATGTTTTACATATAGAATCTCATGTATTTACAGAGACTTGGAAGCCACTGACCACTAAGTTGCGTGCAATTATGTGATACTTGAGAGAGATGTGGAGACCATTCACATGAAATAAGTGCATTGCAGAACATTTGTACAATGAGAACTATCAAGAACATAATGGTTAAAGAAAGAACTATCCACAATGGCATGGCCATACTTTGAGAAGATGAAGCTGTCATTTCTCATCCACCATTGAGTAAACAGCAGCACCACTTGTTACAACTCTGATCAAAATGTTCCTAAAGGATCCTCAGAAATACTGTGGTTGCAGGCTTATAATCTGAACTATGAAGAACAAGTTTATAATCAGGCTGAAACCAGCATATATCTGACAATAACTTATAGCCAAAACATTTAATGAAAGCTTAAAACATATGACCAAAGTCACCTTCCTTCAAGTATACATCAAAAGATGGAGTCTGTTGTACTAGTCAGGCCATCCTCGTCATGAAAGCTTTCAGGCCTCCAACAAAAAAAGGAGGAAAAAGGAGAGAGAAACTATACAACCAAGTTAAGGAATACATTTCCAACTCAAACCCATTAATAGTTATTTTATCATCTCTCACGTGTTTGCAACCGCCAAGACCCAACTTACAAATTCTGGATTTGGCATACACCTGACTGCCATCAGCAAAAATGCTGCATCCGCTACACCGGTATGACATCGAGCTTTGAAGTATCTTCACACCTCAACACAATCCCATCAAGATTAGCTGGGAGGATACAACTGGTCCATTGGCATCCTGTCGAAATTGGCTCAGATGGAGGAACAATCATAAGCACATTGTCATTCTTCCGAACGACTCCCATCACACTCACAGTACTGCCTTCCTTGATATACCTGTAGTAAAGAGACGAAGCAGTTTTTGAGTTATTGATGCCTAGATCTGTGTTGATCTTTACAGGTCTAATGTTGGTCATCAGCAAAACAAAAGGTGATGCTTTGCTTAATTATTAGAAAAACAATGAGATTTAGGGAAATATAATAGCATCTGTATTCTGTAGCAAAAATTAAGGGAAATTTTACAACAGTCATAAATTGGGATGATTAAAATAACAGATAAAGTTACAAAATAATATAATTATGAGGGAAATCAAGTTACCCTTCTTTCATGCGCATTACACGATCATCACTTGAAAGATTCCTCTGAGCTAACCACATAAGGACTTCAGCAGACAAGTCTTTCCTGCCTGGGTTGATATCTAAAACAGCAGACTCATCAACAAATGGGGTCACTTTTGCACCACAGCCAGTCTTTACCAATGCTCGTAACCCAGATTGAAAATCTGAGATGTAGAAATCAACTACATGCCGCTGCCAAAAGCTAAACATCAATGTCTAGAAGGTCACCAATTATGAAACAGGATTATTGATAGTGATTTCAAGAAGCAGATTTATACAAATATCTCAGAAGTTGATTGACTAAAGGAAGGCAATTGGAGCCTGCACTTAGTAAATGAGGCCTTTTATCAGAGTTGAGCAATTTAAAATAGACTAAAGAGCACAACAAACCTCCATTGATCTAAGACCCCATGTAAAACGGCGATGCTGAGGATTGGCAAGCTTAGAGTCCCAGCCCCTGTACTCATATAAACTTGTAGACGTGTACACGCATCTGGGTACCTTCTCAAAGGATGATTCGAGGGGTACATTTCCACAGGTAACAATCTGCAAACATTTGTTGATTAAGCAGCACTCGTGAGAGAGATAAGGTATTAAACAAAAAATCAACATGATAGAAGAAAATAAATATCACTAGACACAAACATCCAATCAGACACAAATGAGGCAGCAAGATCTTTTTATATAAACCTGCTGATCATATATATGCATACACAGTGAAGGAAGACCCGTAACTTAAGTTGCCAAAAGCCATGCCTAGTTGCTGCACTGATAAGACACCTTCTTCAAATATTATATACAGTATTTTTTTGCCTTTTTGAGGTGCTCGCTTGACAGGTACCTGGCTTTGCACATTGCATAATTGCAAAACCTATGATATGCACAAAATTCGCAATGGACCACTATGCTCGACTTTTGCAACCAAGACAACACCTATCCTAGATGTATGACATCAAATGTCACATGAGCGCATAGACAATAACATAGTGAACCAACGAAACATTACAAACAAAAAGGGACTCTATCAACACAAGAAAAAGCATATAGCTCATAAAAGAAAGTAAGAAGAATATTTGAGTCACAAGCCAGGAATCATCAATAGATATAAGTTACATAAAACCTATTTCTAATACTTTCCATGAGAGACGTATTAGGTACTCTGTAGCAAGCGTTGCGACATAGACTTCTGTTAACTTGATACCAGTTTCAAATCTTCGATGCAACAGTCTCTTAGTTTAGCTACCTGCTTGCTAATGTCCACATATTGAAAAATAGGGACAGTCTCAGGACTTCAGTGTGCATCCTTTTCTAGGCTTGCAGTGATTCAACGTTTAGCCATCAAATCCTTGTTATGTTTCAAATGTTTCTCTATTGCATGTTATGAAGCAATTCTCAGATCTCAATCAGATCAAGTGGATGCCACATTATAGTCTGTGCTGACAGTGCCAACACACATTAGGCAGACAGAAAAAAGCACACAAATGTAATTTAATTTATTTGTGAATAGTTAAGATGAGCAAGATTTTCACCTTGTCCTATGGTTAAACATGTGTATGAGAGTTTGATCGCATAAGTTATTTTTGAAAGAAAAAGACAAAAGCATATGTGGAACTTATCAGAAGAAAATTACAAAAAGAAACTACTACAGTTTGGACCAAATATTAGAAAAAAATGAAAATTTTAATAATGAGGCAACCACAGCACTCGCTTAATAATAAAAAAACTTACATGGGTTAGGCAGGAAAAAAGTTAAAAAAAAATATTCAATAAAATTTGGTCTCATTCATATAATTTAAGCTTTTTCACTGGAAGATACCCACCCCAGAGACCTTGACGTATTGACCATCTTTTGCAGTTCTTAGCTCGGCATCAGGATAGCATGCAATGAATCGTATCATAGCTTTTCTTCCCCAACAAGAATTCCAAATAAAAAGTGCAGCCACAATGCCAAAGAGAGCTACAACGACAATGAGAATAATTGCATTATGGACAGCTCCAAGAATAAATCCACCAGCAATGAATCCCATCACAAACAGAAGAATCACAGCCCATAATGCTGGTTTTGGGAATGTCCTCTTGAAAGAAAAGCCATCCTCCTGGCTGATATTAGTGACAGCTTGGTTGTGTACACTCAAGGTGTTATGTAACTTAGCTGAACCAGAGGAATCCAAAGGACCAGACACTTTTCGAGGGGCTCCAGATGAATTTAGATGACCTGAAGAAACAGGGCCTGATGTTATAAGTCCAGTTGCAGGGAGAGCAAGTGGACCAGAATTTTGGCGAGCCATCGGGTTAGTCCCACCACTTTGCTGGCCAGATGACCTTTTCATAGAATCAATTTGTTTATTTAGAGGTCCTGAATTGGATTTTTGTCTATTTGGCATTCCTGTAGATGAAACTGGACCGGATGAATAGTTAGACCGACTTCCAGAGTTTGGCATGATAATAGGTCCTGAGTATGAGGCAGAACCTCCAAATGTTCCAGTTCTCGTTGGAGCATTTGTTATAGGACCAGATTTTCTTGACCTCGAGTTATCTGTCGGAATGTCAAACATCTTCCCCAGTTCTCCAGACTTCTTAATATCTCCGCCGGTATATGGCATGGCTACTGAGCTCATAGTTGGAGGCTTCTCCTTTGGTTGCTCAGGACGGCCAGAAACATAGAGGCCACTGCTGAGTTGATGTGATGGGAATCTAGATCCCATCCTTAGCTTAAAGGCTCCTTAAAACTTGATATAGCAAATGCAAACCGAACTCTCAGGATTGATTCAGAAGTACTCTCGAGCAACTCAGTGTTACAGGAATGACAAGGTCAACAATGTTAATGTTCAATGGAGTCATAATGGTGGAGGTACGTGCAACCAGAATGATACTCCTCACAGACCTTCCAAGGTATCCTGTCAGATAGCGGCGAATGATCATAAACCAAAAACAATAAAATGCAAAACATGCACATGGATTCTTGCTTCCGTGGCTGTAATCTGCCTTGCAGCAAGGTGTTCTAGCGCATGCTTTAAAAGAAAGAAAATGTCAATCAGAATCATGATCGAGATTTCAAGAATCGTGACACGAATACCAGTCCAAACCATGAACCGGTGCACCAACATAATGAATGAACCACAGTTCTGACATATCAAGCAATCTTTGACCGTATTTGTATCGATGTATGGAGATGATCAAATGAAAGAGCTAAAAGCATACATATTTCTGCAGGTATAAGAATTTCCATGACCAAATAAATGCCCACACTAACAAGCGACGCAAGGCACCGTCAACCACACTCGATTGAAACAAAACTCCGAAAGAACTGGTGGCGAAAACGAATGAATTGCTTTTCTCGAGTCCAATTACTGACACAAACATCCAACACAGACCATATCCCAAAGAAAAGCTGCCGTCTCTGGGGAAAAAAATCTTACCTTTCTCGCCATTCAGATCCCAAACCAACAAAGACCCACCTCCCAGAACCTCTCACCGAAGAAAACCCGGTGCTACAAGACCCACAGCTCCACGACAGAGGCATGAGTACCAACAAAACGGAAACAAGCACAGACCAAACCGCGAAAAGGTGAGATTTTTGTGCATACCTCCAGAATCCAAAGCACAAATTGGTCAACAGTGCGCACCAAAATGTGTTCCAGCCGCCATTGATCGCCCCAATCGACAACACTATGCCTGCGAGTGAAAGAGAGACAGAGAGAGACAGGGCTTGCCCCCTTCAACCGCTGTCTCCCACACACACCACCATAAACGGTGGAGAGAGAGATAGAGAGAGAGAGAGAGAGAGAGAGAGACAAGGCTGTAAAACCCAACCCACCGTTATACTGCCCTTCCTTTTACCACGAAGTGACTAAAATATCCCTAGGCTTTCAAAGATACTACTAAACTACCCTCGCCATGTTTTGCATTATTATTAACTGATCGAATCATATGTTTAATAATTTTATTAAAAATAATATAATTATATTAGATTAAATATTTCTTTATAATATAAAGAAATAAAAATTATTGTATGTTTTATGACATCATTCTCTTTATATATCTATTTATATGATATCATGGTATAATCAGTCAATTAAATTGATCTGATTTTTGATTTTTTGATCCGATCGATCATTCGATTTGATTTGATTCGAATCTGATTTATAGTCTTCCATCGTACAGTACAGCATGAAACTTATTTTGTAAGGCTGAAATGACCCTAAATTTTGATGAAACAGTTACGGATTTTGAGTGTTAAACACTCTTCTTTTCTTTACATCAAGATATAAAAGCATGCTTTTGTGAGGATGATATGTTTCCCAATTTTGATGGAGTAATCATAGTTTGGAGTGTGAATCACTCTTTCATTCATTCATTCATTCATTTCCTTTTAGTTGTGATGTCTCAATCAGGTTGGTGAGATGAAGATGTGAAACATCAATTAATGCTTTGACTTTTTTTTTTCCCACTTTTTTTGAGTTTTTCCTACAAAATTCTGAATAAGAATTGATAAAATTAGTTGTTTGGCTTGGAATTAAACAGATTGTTTTGTTAACTTTGAGCTATAAATATTTTGGACTTAGACCTAAGAGACTCAACTGCACTTTTCTTAAGATTACTTTGAATATGATACAACAATGAAAAAACAAAATGATTTTTTCAAGAATAAAAAAACAACAATCAAAATGGTTATCTCATTATATATATATATATATATATATATATATATATATATATGGGGTAAATATTCTTACATGTTTTAGATCTCTCAGTCTACCCATGACAAATTAATAAAATCTAAAAACTCAAACCTATATTTATAGTCCTCCCAAGTCTCAAGTGAGTTCATATTTATTTCCGTAATATTAAACCTAACTATACATATAATTTAAGATCGAAACGCTCACATGGATATTTTTTTAATTAAACTCGATCAATTGGCCATCATTTGACTATTAAAATAAAACTAAAAATAATATTATTTTAGATGTCTTTGTATAAATGTCAAGAAACAAATACGGTATTTCCAGAGTTGGGAAGGATGAATATGTAAAAAGGCATAGCGAGAGGGCATTCATGACATTTTAGCAACCTCGTTTTGCTCGACCGTCGCCACTGCTTCCGTTACACGAGAACGTGTCGGAAACGGCCGCGAAATAAATAGCTAATCAACCCCCCCACCCCAATTAATGACGACCAAATAATTGAGGGAGGATTAAATATAAACACAAAGAATGTAAAGAAATGCATCCAAATATAAAGCCTAGTAATTGAGGATAAAGAAATGTTAATATACATATATATAGTTTTGTTTCAGATATTAGCTTAAATTATATCATGGAAAACTGTAATGAGGCAACTAAATTAAAAAGGTATTTTTTTGATGTCTTCACAAAGCAAGCACATTAATTCCGATAAGGCCACACTTAAATAGAATTTGACCCCCAGATGATAAAAAAGATATATATGTTCTATTGCATAATCATCATTCATAGTCATACCTATGAATAATTTGTCTCACCACGCAAAAATCAAATATTTTCACATGCCCTACACATTTTGTAGGCACATACACAATTTACTGGTATTAACTGTATTCTCACACACAATATAATCCATAACAATATAAATTAACCAAACTACAATAAGTGATCTATGTGGAGACATTATAATCCTGTTGATGGGTCCGATAACATCTTGTATTATTATTTTTTCTCATCTTTCGATCAAATTTAATTTGATAGGACTGAATCACTATGGGTCTGATTTAAAATTGTCATCAGTATAAAGAACAATAGAAGATGTAGTTTATCATTCCTCAAGATTTGGGGGGTCATCATGGTTGCTAAAAAAAAAAAAGAATGCCACAAAGCACTAATGAGTACAAGTTAGGAAGACATGTGGAATTGTTTAGGGAGATGGCCAACCTTTTCATTATGAAGATTAACACACAAATTTAATAAGCAATAATTAAGGGCAGTTGCAGTCCAACATGAAAGGGACCAATGCAATCATTCCTCTTTCAGTAAACATGCAACTTGCAATCTTAAACCAGCAGCATTCCTTTAGAAGTTGTAAACTATGGTATATAGCATGCTTTAAATTAGCTTCCAGCTCTAGATGGTGCAGACTAAGAAGGTTGACGTAAACATATCAGAATTGAGTTGAATTCATTTCAACCAAAAACAGCTGCTAAACTTCACAAGCTAGATGGATTAGATCTCTTTTTTTTCATTTTCGTACTCTTCCATAACATAAATATCAGAAAGAAACTTCTGGTGTGGAAGAAAAATTGTTTATGATGCTGAAATGTACCCATGACACATAAAATCAACAAATCGAAACTTAAATAGCTAACTCAAAATGCTTAAGCCCAAATAAATGGTATACTCATCAAGCCTTTCAAATTTTCTTCCACTTCGATATGAGACTAAAAATAAAGCAGGCCAATATTAGGTGATTGATAATATTTTGCTTGGTTAATGAACCCAATATTGATGTATGTAGTAGCTGCATCAACTTAAGAATTCTTATATGGCAAATGACTAACCGATGATGAGCAAACATTGGCTATCTCACAGGGGAGAGGTATGATTTGGAACTAAGAGTATGGTGGCATTGACTAATGCAACCTACATATGAGGACATCACCTGCTGACATTACTAGCAAAAAATCTCCAAAATGGGGGGGGGTTGGTGGTGGTGGTGGTGGGGTGTTTGAGAATATGAACTGATGAGAACAGTGATTTTTATGGTGATTTACAATCTAAAATGCACTTGTAGATTGAATTGTAAATTAAAATTGAATGTGTATACCCCTTCCTACTCCCATGTGTTGCTTCTTCATATGTTGTCACTCTCTGTTCCTTTATTTTGACCTACACAGTAGCTATCTCTTGGCCCTTTTGCTCCATTGTTCCTCTCTATTTTAGCTGTAATGCATACATACATGAAATCAATACTTCCAATATTTTTTTGGTTTTCAGTTCCAAGCAACCAAACTAATCCAAAGTTAATTTTTGTTGCTCAATGATAAATTAATGTGTAGCCACTATTTTCTATGCCACCAAGTTATCACCAACAAGAGTGCATGCAAATGCATGACCAGTTTAAAACATGTCATGAAAATAGTATTTTTATTATTACCTAATTTCTTATTGTATGAATAAAGACGAAAATAATTCATCTCAAATAGTTAGGACTCATGACCTTATTGTTGTTATTGTTGGATGGATAAAAGTACAAACACCATCTTATGTGTGAAGTAATATGTAGCTAGAAGCTAAATTTAATTAAATTGGGTATATATCACAGTATTGACAAATGGATTAAGTATACCTAATTGTAATGTATCATGGAGGAACAGCAATTGGAGCTAGTGGGACTGAATGCTCCAAGGGCCAGCAGTCCCACTCATTGTCCTTGGCATGGGCTACTGAGAAATGCTTGGGAACCCATACTTCCCCTCTAGATTTCCATTCTCTCTGTAGCTCTCTCTCCTTTTCCTCTATCCTTCTCTTTGCTTCTGAAGCTTTTTCCCAGTCCATGTTCAAAATGGCTTGGCTTACTTCCCTCCACACTGTGGCTGATTCAGTAGGCCACAAGTTCTGTCCAAATAATGTTATTAAATGTTAATTTTATATACCCAAGTAAATGATCATGATGTTACAAATTTGAATTTAAATGATCAGGCCAGGAAGGTATAACCAAGTAGATAAATTTAAATGATCGTGTACAACTGTGACTGCATGATTGAACTATCATGATGTTACAAACATATAGAAGGTATAACCAAATAGAGGAATGCAAATGTTCATGTATAGCTATGGCTGCATGGAGGAAGCATCAGAAAGTTTAGAACATATATATACAAGCTATAACCAAATAAAGGAATTCAAATTATCATGTACTGGTAGAATTGCATCAGTGGAACATTAAAAAGTTACCAACATATAGAAAATCCGACCAAATAAAGCAATTCAAATGATAATGTGTATAGAAATGAAAGGTTAGGCAGCTACAAACAAATAGAAGGTATAACAAGATAGATAAACTTAGATATATGTGCATGAATGAAACATTAAAAACTTACAAACAGATGGAAAGTACAAACAACTAGAGAAATTTAAAAGACAATGTACAGATTTGACTGCACGAGTGAGACATTAGAAAACTAAAGACATACAGAGGATACAAAATGGAATGTAAGATCATGTACAAGAATCAAATATTAGAAAGCTAAAAACATATTGATCCTCTTCCCTCTCTCTCTATCTCTGTAACGATAGCCAAATACATAACTAAATTTGCTAGTTTCAAAGTATTTTTTTAGAGGAAATATAAGAATTGACAGTTCTGCACTTCTGCTGCTGTCTTGTTCAGGAAATTTTACGATTAGATGACTGCAAAATTATGCATCAAACCTACCAATTTATTGGCAATTTGTGTTTGTGTTGTTTATGGTAGACAAACATCTTACCAGTTCAATGAAACTGTACAAATATACATATCCTAAGAGACATCCAAAGGTGTTTAGCTTCTTAAGGCTGAAACATTTTGGTAACTTTATTCTCCTTATATTGTTCTAAATAGATACAAGGCATGATGTCACTATCTCCCATCTTGCCTTTCGAAAGTACCTTGAAATAAGGATTCAAACAAGGGGTTTCCCATCATTTTAAGAAAAAAAATAGTTTACATGTGCATTGTTAATGCATGCCTAGTTACTTCTATATGCATCTTGTTTAACTCAGTTATTATGGGTATCTGTAAGACATGATACATGTAGCTACCCTAAATTCTGATCCAACATAAAATTGCTATGTATCTAGTTACATATTAAGCAATTAACTTCTTAGCTTCAAAATTATGGGTACCTCTGGAGCCTCAAGAACAGGAGTCTTGAGTTTTGAGATGGCCTTCATGGCATCATACAAGACTGTAACTTCTCCGCTGTGGACATCCTTCAAGTTGACAATCCTGCCAAACAAATAAAATTCCACCATATTTGATGCATAATAAAATCTTGAAACAAATAAATTTCTTACAACAGCTAGGCATAACCAATGTACCTGTCCCACTGGCCATCGATCTCATAGATAGTCTTTGATGTCTTTGAGTGAAAAATATTACCCCTGACAGACCTTGAATTCCCGCCAAATCCAAGGAACGATTGACTCTTGTGATAGCAGAGATTGGCCTCCAGATCAGAATCTTTACACCTGATTCTGACATCCCCCAGCCAGTCAGCACCAGTAGTCGGAAGTAATCTTACTACCAAGTTGGGCGAATCCATCTCATAGTCCTCCCCAAAGGTCAAAAGCTTCAGCTGCCTTTTTCCATTGATTACAGCTTCGACACTGGTGCCTTCCATTGTGAAATATGTGGGAAAATGAGATAAAAAATAAAGACAATATACTGAAAAATTAGCATGGGATTGTCCAGAAGCTGTTGCCGTAGCAGGCTCTGATGCTTTTTTTTTTTTTGAATTTGTATGTTCAATGACAAATATGTCAGACTGTTCAAATCAGCTATGAACCGGGATTTTAAAATGCGATAGACATACTTCTATTCACAGTGTATATATGATAAGAAGAAAACTGTTGCTATGATAGGTTGCTGAGAAATACCATGAAAGCTGGTAACTAGGTTGTGCCACCATATAAGTTCTATGTTCTCTTTTGCATCAGTTGCATGAAGAGCAGACACTGGAGGGTGATGTGAGACCTTCCAAATAAATACACCATAGAGATATAATGAAAACATTTGTCAATGATATATATACGCACATAATTTGGAACGCACAGTATGATGCACAGAAATAAGAGTTTTCGAACAAGGGAGAATATTTGCAGCATCAGGACATCACAGTCACCTGCTCAAGGAGCACATTGAGGGACCCCCTGGAGACATGATGAGTTTCTCCTAGAATCGGATCGTAAGGAGCCAGTCCAAATATCGCAGGTCGCATGGTTGATATGCTCCATGCAACTACTGAGGTAAATCTTTCAAGGCTGCTCTTTCCTCTGGGACACCTGGTTAAGTAGTCCTCATTGATGCAATAAACTGATTCCCCATAGCACTGGAGCTGTGATTTTGGCATGTTGAAGAGAGGAGGCAACTGCATGTCCAGCAGAGAGTAAAATTTCCTATTTGTATTAAAATCCTTAAAAGTGCAATATAAGAATAATTTGCGTTGATTCTTGAATCGTTTTATCTTATTACCAAGCTACATTTGCTATTTACCATCACTAACTCGTTCATGTAATGCTGTATTACATAGAAAGAGATTACCCACCAAAAGAACCTGCTTCAGAAGCATGGCCCATAAGCCTGAACAAACATTTGATATAGTAAATTGGAGATTGTAAGTTGAATTAGGTTTATTTTTAAAGGCAAAAAATCAGTAACAATCAATATCACAACCAATAGCCTACTTAAGACACTTAAAATTCCTTTTTTTAATCAAAATCAAAGGAACAAGTTAAGGTTCTTAATGATAGCAAGCATTGACCAAACGAAACCTACTTCAAAAGCATGGTCCATAAGCCTGAACAAACATTTGATATAGTAAATTGGAGATTGCAAGTTGAATTAGGTTTATTTTTTAAAGGTAAAATATCAGTAACAATCAATATCACAACCAATAGCCTCCTTAAGACAATTACAGTTCCTGTTTTTCATCAAAATCAAAGGAACAAGTTAAGGTTCTTAATGATAGCAAGCATTGACCAAGGTTTGCATCCCAGAAATTTGTTAGGAAAGTCTTTGTCAAACATTAACTTAAGCTCTGGCCACTAACATCATATCCTACTTGGTTTTAACGTGATGACAGATGAAAGATCTTTCCATGGCTCCTAGCCGTTGGCATCATACCTCACTCGAACACCGTTCTGCTCAATTCATGGTTCACATGATCGATCCTTGAATTATTGTTGTTGACTTGCTGATAAGGTCTTAACTCATTCGAAAAAGCTAAATATAAAGTCCAACGGACCTAATTCTATCATATAGAAAAGGAGGCTCAGAACCAAACACTAGATATCATAATATAACGAGGGAAGAGAAGACATGCCTGGAAGTGGGTGAGATCGGACCCTGGCCGTACGTTGCGGAGAAGACTGAGCATCCGTGGGAGGAGGCCGGGCGTTTGGTGCTCCTCCACCAGCCCTCCCTCCAGCGCCAGCGGCGGCGTCAGCACCACGGCCGCCTCCTTCCGCTGCTCCGTCGCCGCATCGTCAACCTGCGCTCCCATCCAATCCTATATCATTATTTTATTCATATCAGAAAAAGAAAACGATACCTCTCCTACGCCGGCCTACTTCTCGTACGCACCTCACCTACCACTTCGATGGATGGAGACGTGAAGATGGCCTCCACATGGGGACCCGCTTCGCTCACGCTACTCTGATAAGGTAGAACAAAGCGAGGAATATTTTGAAGTGCGTTCTCGACACGCAGTCGGAGTAACTACGCAAGAATAAAAAAATAGAAGCGTCTTTTCGACAAGCGCCGGATGGGCGGCCGGCATACAAGGGCGAGACCGGCCAAGAAGAAGACCTACTCGATGGAATCCGGTCGAAGAAATCGATCTTGGATCCGAAGCGGCGGAACACATAAAAAACCCGCGTTCCCGCCGATCCAAACAGAGGTAGAAGCAGTCCAAGCAAGAACTACGAGTAGAAGTAGTAGCAGTAGAAGAAGAAGAAGAAGAGAGCCGGTACCATTTCTTGAATCAACTGGAAGATCCGCCTTACGATGGTCGAAGGCAGAGCGCGCCTTGCGAGGCACCCGCGAGGTCTCGGCTCGACCTCCGGCGATCACGAGAGAGAGAGAGAGAGAAAGAGGTTGCCGATTCCCATTTATAGACACGGAGTCGCCGAGCGACTCGTCGTGGGTCGGTCGAGAATTGCCTGCTTTCAGTGTCGACCGTCGGTTTGATTCGATCAAAGCCAGTGATTGAGACTGAAAGCGGAAAGTGGCACTAACGCGAATACAATAATAATAACTATAAAGTATCCGTTCCCAGTCTTTAATCTCACTTCCTTTTTTTTATTTCTTAACGATTCACATCTTTTTGAATAAAATATTAAATATTAAAAAATCAATTTCATCAAATTAGATGGTTCGATTAGAGGAGGAATGAAATAGCCGTTAATAAATCCATCAACCTTTTTTATATTATTTGGGATTCAGGAAAAGAAAAAATGTAACTATTCACAAAAAGAATCATTTTCGATATCAAGTTAAACATCCATAAATCTAAACAAAAAAATAAATCAGGATAATGCAATTATTTTGATGGCAATTGCTAGGAAAGTCCTTTACCGGTTAATTTCACCCCATTTCACCAAATCCAGAAGATGGGTACTATTCTTCATGGTTTCCACCTTTTGCCTACAAAAAAAGGTTTCCTTTGCGGTTTCCATTGCAACCAAGTACACTAACCAAAAACTACAATTGCATCAAAAGATGAAATGAAAGCAATGCCAACGAGGTAAATTATGCTACGCTATTTGGAACATAAAAAACAAATAATAGCAGGTGGTAATGGCGGAAAGGATATTATTGCAAATATCAATAATCAAGATAAAGGAATGTAATTGTGAATCTCAACTCTTCGACCCTCTGTGATACAAAAGTTTAACCGATATCTTGAGTACGTGAATGGATGTCCAAAGTAGATGGAAGGGATGATATTGCAAATCTCAACATTTAACACCAAAGAATCTAACCACACATATTGACTCTTCGACCATTGATTATATGATCTTTGGTCTGTCCTGAACATCTTGATGGTTGACCACTTATAAGTGCAAGAAGATTTTAGGAGCTAGCAGTTTCTGGCTTTTTTGTTTCTTCCATCATCAACATTCATGATTCCTCATCGGCATTCTGCTAGCTCATAACAACCACTGGCTACTACTGTTACTGGAATGCTCTCTCTCTCTCTCTCTCTCGGGGCCAGTTGCAGAGACCAAGGGAGACTTATTTGTGCCAATCACAGCTGCCATCATAACTTATTCAACCAATTGTGCCTAAAAGTGATTGCACTGGAAGCCTTGCAGGCAAACACACAACTGCTACAAGGCAAAGCACATGCTTATGAGTTCATCTCACCGACACAAATCTGATATAGGACTGGTTGTGTTGTCTTTTCTCCTCCTATTGGTCTCTTCATAGCTTCCAGTAGTTGATATTGATGCTTTTAATATTTGCAACAGGTTTCCAGGGTTGAACATAAAAAACCTGATTTGCTATTATAAAGGTCATATTCCTCCAGATCAGCCTGTGGAAAACAAGAAAAGAATGATGCAAGTGAATTTAAGAACAACCAGTGATTAAATGAATATTTTTTGGAAGGCAAAACAAATATCAATTACAGTATACCATGATATTCATGTGATAACTCTGCATTATTGGAGAATAATTGACAAGATGTTTTAGTCTGTACCTTACTATTCAGTCATCAGTGGGGTATAGCCTTCCATCTTCATCTCATCAACTAATAGGTTAATCATTTCATAAATCTCTGCAGCTCTCAGACGCAATCCATCGCCAGCATGGAATTCATGGACTTGCTTACCAACCTCAATCCAACTGCAACCAGGAGTCTTTGTGACACCCCTCTCCCTCATTAGCCCTCTTATCCTCGCTGAATCCTCCCACCTCTTTGAGTTTGCAAATATTTTAGAAGAAATAACATAGTTCCCTGAGTTTGAAGGTTCCAACTCAAGGATCCTCTTCACAACCCTCTCTCCAACTTCCATATTCTTTTGATATCGACAAGCACTAAGCAGAGCTCCTAAGACAACCGCATCAGGTTTCTGTGGCATCTTCTCTGTGAACTCCCATGCTTCTTCTAAAAGCCCACCTCGTGCTAGAAGGTCAACCATGCAAGAGTAATGCTCAATCTTTGGAATGATTCCATATGCCGACTGCATGACATCAAACCAGCGCCGACCTTCATTAACTAAACCAGAATGCACACATGCAGAAAGGACCCCTATAAATGTGATATCATTTGGCCGAAACCCTTGATTCACATTTATCATCCGAGTAAATAATGAAATAGCTTCTTCTCCTTGTCCATTGAAAGCAAGTGCAGAGATCATAGCATTCCATGAGACTATATTCTTATGAGGCATGATATCAAAGACTTCCATAGCTCGGCCTAGATTTCCACATTTTGCGTACATGTCGACCAAGGCTGTTCCAACAAATACGTTATGGTACAGCCCATTACCTGAGGCATATGCATCAAGAGATCTGCCCAGCTCAAGAGCTCCAACAGCTGCACATGCTGATAGAACCCCTACAATTGTGATTTTGTCTGGCTCAACTCTTGCCTCCCTCATGGTGTGGAATAATTCAATGGCCTTATCTGACAAACCATTCTGCGCATACCTGTGTGGTTCTGGCAAGCCAAGCCATCAGTCCAAAATTCTACATGATACAGTTGCATGATTCTGATAATAAAGGCATGAAGCAACGGTCTCTGCTCCAGTAATGTCTATATATGCTAAGCAGATCGACATAGCAATTTAAAACAAAATCAATGATCTATTTAAGGCTGAAAGAATTAATAAGAGAAGGAATTATACGAATATACTTGCCCTGTGATCATTGCATTCCACGCAACCAAGTCCTTGTTTGCCAATCCATCAAATATTCTCCTTGCTGAGCCCAGATCTCCACATTTACCATACATATCAATCAACGCAGACCCAAGAAACGAGTCCAGCACCAACCCATGCTCCTCCACCAAGCCCTCCAACCACGTCCCCAAGCTGGAGTCCCCCAGGTCCCCACAGGCCGCCAGAACACACACCAGAGTGACCTCATCCGGCACGATGGATCCCTCCGACCTCATCCTCCGAAACAACTCCACCGCCTCCCCCGCGTGGCCCATCTTCGCGTACCCAGACAACATCGAGTTCCAGGAGACCGGGTCCCTCACGCCAATTTCATCGAACACCTGGCGCGCCAGGGCCACCTCGCCGCACCTCGAATACATGGTGATCAAGGAATGCTGCACGTGGTCATTGCCGTCGAGCCCGAGCTTAAAGATCGGCGCATGGGCGGTCAGGCCGCAGCACAAGGACTCGAGGTTGGCGGAGGCGACGAGGACGAAGGGGAAGGTGTAGTGGTTGGGCCGCTCGCCAGATCGGACCATCCGGAGGTAGAACTCGAGGGCGAGCGGGTAGTCGGCGTAGATGGTGGTGAGGGCGCGGATCATGACGTTGAAGGAGTAGTCGTTGGGGCGGGGATTCCGGGAGAAGAGGAGGAGGGAGTAGGGGAGGTCGTTGAGGAGGAGGAGCTTGGAGAGCAGGTGGTTGGGCTTGTGGACGCCGAGGGTGAGCATGTGGGAGTGTATCTGCTTGAAGCAGCGGAGGGAGGCGCATCGCTTGAGGAGAGATAGGATGTGGTTTTGAGGGTTTGCTTCGGCTGGAGAGGGGAAGTGGTTCGAGGGAGGTGCGGGAGGAAGGGGTGTCTGAGGAGGAGACGGGAGCTTGAGCTTGGGGATTACTTTGTGTTTGAGCATTACTATTCGCTTTGGAAGCGCGACCTACTTGTCGATGGCCGCACTAACGATCGATTCTTGTTTGACTACATTTATATAGTATCTCTTATCATAATTCTTAAACAGTCATTTTGTATTTTAAAAATATTAAAAATATCCGTCAAAAGTTATCATGTGTCTTTTTGTCCATTTTTGAGGATTAATACAACTATTTATAATATTTTATAAATTTTTATTCATAAAAATACTGTAAAACTAGTTCAAAAATATTATAAAGTGTTTTTGAATCATGTTTTTATTTCAAAAATACTATAACATCAAATATTTAGTTAAAAATTGCTATGTAATATTGTTCACTAGTCTTGTAGTATTTTTATGGATAAAAATACACAAAATATTGTAAACAATTGATGGAAAAACACATCATAGGCTTTGGATTAGACGAGAAAAAATGACAGCTTTTTGAAAAGATATTTTTAGAAAATTAGAAATAAAAATGATTGTTTGGAAATTATAAAAAGGTTACGAAAATACCCAAAATAACTTGCATAATATATCATGTCTCTTTTCTTTTGTAGAAATAATATTAGCTTCTTCATTTTTTTCTGCTTGGCTTCTCAAGAAGCCTTAATGAGTAGATTAAACAGAGAATCAAAGACAAGAAAGAGCAATGCATCAATCACAATAAGCAAACCAATTATATGGTAAAATTTGAATTACTTCATGCTCAATAAACTTTCTTCTTAGCAATCAAGAAATTGTGCTAACGTAATAATAATGAGTGAATAACACGGCGTAGAAAACCAATCGCTAAGTCATGATATGCTCCCTGGATGGCCAAACTAATCAAAGAGCGAGAAGCCCATGTCGTCATCGCTCTCCTCTTTTTCTTCCTTTTTCTCCTCTTCAAGAGGTGCCTCGGCAGCGGGAGCACCGCCACCAGACCCAGCTGATGCACCACCTGAAGGGGCTCCACCTCCGATAAATGCCCCGCCACCTCCACCAATTATAACCTGCATCATGTATTACGAAGATTTTAGACTTCGGGCAACTAGTCTCAAATAACAGAGCACCATGTATTACAAAGATTTTAGACTTCGGGCAACTAGTCTCAAATAAAAGAGATGAGATGGAGTAACAGAGAAGAGGGAAGAAAAATAAGAAAACCAACAATGTTCTCCATCCAACTTGTCTCAACAAAGAGATGAGCACTAATAGAATGAAGCCCTTACTCACCAAAATTATTTGCAAAAAAAGAACACCAATCTAACTGATGCAAGCATTCTAATATGCAACTTTTATTGGATATGAAAAACAAATTGCCCAAATACAGGAACCTATGAGAAAGTTTAAATCATAAGTAAAATTTGTAGACACAAGGATAAAAGGCATCATGAACAATAAAACAATAGTGGCAGTAGAAATAATTTAAATGCAAGGATATAGAGGCCATATATGAAACCAAAATCTTATGCTCATGTAGATCAGAGATTGGGGTACAAAGCCAATATGTGGCATTACGAATATAGAGAAAACATAGACCTTTTGGTAAGTGTCAACTCAGTAGATTAACTAAAAAGCATGATACTGATGCTGATCTAGCTTCTCGCATCTAGCTTCTCACACACAGGAAGTAACATCAAGAATCAACTCTCTTTGAACTTTCTTAAAATCTGGGAATCCTATGCTGGTCTTCATACTAGTCAATCATTGTTTTCTTTGTTAAAAGGTGTAGAAGTATCCTGAAAGACTTAAGATCTTCTACTTGCAAAAACAAAAATCTGATGCATTTTACCACTAAAACGAGAGTATAGAGTATATACAAAATCACATAATCCTAATCAGAGAATGACAAAAAAAAATAGACCCAATATAATGACACAAAAGGACAACAAATCAGCTCTGTTTTTGACAAGAGAACGAAGCACTAAAAGTAACCTTTTTAGTAATCAGGGACTCATCATGTTGACATAAAGCATTAGACTCGAAGCCAACCAGGAGACCAAGATAAGCCAGTGGGGGATGAACCAACTCGCACAACACAAGGATCCTCAACAAATATAAAAACATCCCATGGCTCAGCTGAACTCACCAAGTCTTATAACAAATAGTGTATCACCTCAAAATATTGCAGGCAGCCAAACTCTCCTTGTTCACTACCAGTTAAGACAATTAAGTACCAGCTTATGAGGTTAATCACTCAAGATTTTCTCTAGAAGTAAAAAACATTGGAACTCTCTTTCCATGCTCTGCTTATCGCCTTATCATTTAACACAGGTAAGAGCACAAGTCACTTAATAACCATAAGCATTTTGGAGACCTCATGGTCGTCCAGACCCGAACCAGTATTCAAGATGACGAATTCAACTGTTAAAGGACTAGCTCGAATACTCACAAGGAATATTCTTTTATAGCATTATCATCTCCCTCCTCCATCTTTAATCGCACTTTAACAAGCAATGAATTTATCTAGATGAAAGCGATCTTGCTTTCTCGTACCAGGCAATAACATAATGCTTCTCTGATCAAAAGCCCATATTTCCATTCCTTCACCGTAGCACGATCACTAGTCATGGACATAAGTAAATCTAGAAAAAAAAAGGGTTGTTTTGAACATATCAAAGTTCTAGATCAAGATGAGAGCGAACGATAAGGGGGAGGCAACAATGCATCGAAACCAGCAGCGACATTTAGCAGAAACGCCTCGAGATATCTCACCTGGAAGACGGCCGATGAGGGAGAGACCATGGAGAAGGAGGACTGGACGCCACCCGAGGAGTCGACCGCGAGTACCGCCTGCACGAGCTCTCGCTGGAGGCCGTAGGTCGAAGAGGCTGAAGCCTCAAGGTCACCAGAGAGCTGCTTCGCGCTCCAATCGCCGCCGGAGCTACGGCACACGAAGGTGTACACGCCCATGTCTCTTCCGCCACTCGTCACCCGCGCCGATCCAAAACCCTAATCATACCACCCCCCCTTCCGTTTATAACGGCGATAGAACTTTCCGATGGACCAAAATACCCGTAATCGATACGACTAATAACGCAAACGTCCATTACAGCGACATGCTGCCCACGTGATATAGGTGTTTAAGTTAATGGAATTGGATTCCTTCAATCTAATAATCGAATCTATTTATGATGACAATTATGTCATGTAATAATTTGCATATGTATAAACTATTTAGAATTTAGTAGTTTCGATTTGTAGATGGATATTTGGATGAAATTTTAATATTTACTAGAAATAATGTTCATCAAATCTCGAATCGATGACGAAACAAATGAAATATCTCTAAGATTGATTTGACATCATAAAGAGGAATACTGTAACACCATCAACATATGGCAGATTAATGGCAACCCTTCAACCGTGCCATGCATTACACTCCCATGTTGGCGTCATCCGTCTCCTCGGCTTCGACACCAAAGCCACGCTTCCCTTTCTCGCACACCGTATCAAGGTTGTACAGTATGGGAACCATGGCGAGAGAGGACAAGGGCACCAGGACTGGACCAAATATCCACAGCAGGAGCGGAAGTGCAGCGTAGAACAGCCTGTTCCCCACGGTGTTGAGGAAGAAGCCCTTCTCCAGGAGATCACACACGTATTGCGGGGTCACCGGCGAGCCTTCGTGGCCGCAGCAAGGAGTGTTGATGAGGAAGTTCACCTGGTTGACGAACCTTATGGAGAGGGAGTAGCAGAGGAAGGCGAAGAGGAAGATGAGCAGCAGCGTGACGTACTTCAGGGACACCATGAACTCCCCGTGGGCGCCGAACAGCGCGTCGTCGAGAGGCTTTTTGATGCTGTAGGTGCTGCTGATGACGGCGGCGAGGCCCGAGCAGAGGAGGATGGAGGTGGTGGCCATCAGGGTGGAGGCCATGATGGCGTTCCTTATCGACTGCACCGCGAGGATGTTCTTCTTGTCGTTGTCCTGCGACACATCAACAGGAAGCCTCAAGGAATTGCTTCAAACAGTACATGCAGCAGGAGAAAGCTGTTCGAGGAAGGTGGAGAGAGTGAGTACTTTAATGATGGCCAGCACCCAGTGGCGACGCCCGGCGGAGTTGATCCCTATTACCGTGCGAAGTGGCTGTGATCGAACCTTACGCCACAGCCAACAGTGATACAGGATATGGAGAAGAAGGCTTGATGGAACAAGAACAAGATCCAGGTAACTCTTTCTCCATTCCATGGCATCCCGGCTGAGTCCTCCTGCCGCTCTCGTCGTATATATATATATATTTGTATTTGTGTGTGTATATATATATATATATATATATATATATAGAGAGAGAGAGAGAGAGAGAGAGAGAGAGAGAGAGAGAGAGCAGCACCAGCTAAATTAAATGCTAGTCGACGTGGTGCCACCACCAGAACATGACATCCCAGGAATAATGCTGTCAGCTTTCTTGGAAGGCCGATACGAGAAAGCTACTGCTGTCAGCTTTCTTGGAAGGCCGATACGAGAAAGCAACACGAGAGAGATGGCAACATCTACAAAAGTGTTCGACGAATTGCCGGTAGGTCTCCTGGTGATGGTATCCTTCAGAGCCGAGTTAAATCTGGGAGAAAATGGTACCTACTTGGGTCGATTCTTGAGTTCAGCAACACAAAAGCAACCGGGCCGTACACGATCATCATCGGTAGCGTACATGTTACAGAAGTTTTAGCAGTCGTTTTTGGATGGAAAGAAATGGCAATCTTCTTCTTCCTCCGGAATCTGCTTTCGGTGTGCGTTGGACTGCGTACCACTAATACAGGGACAAGATTGCTCAGTTTTCTCCGGAAAAAGATTATAGTGCGGTGTGATCCCTGAGTGGGCCTTCGGGATAAGAAGTGGCAGAGAGACACAGCATGATGTGTGTGACACGAGAAGCAACGATTAGGCAGCTAGTGATGGAGAGAGTAGTTTCATCGGTTGCGTGACGTGTGGAGCAGTATTCCACCGGATCATGAGGATGCCGAAGGTTATGGGGTTTCTGTCAGCAAGCAACAATGGCTTCGATATTGCTTGGAAGCAGATGTGTGAAGCTATCAGAGATGAGATGTCACTTCCTGCGCGAGTTTGGCGCAAAGTCGTGAGGAAGCGTGATGGCAGATACCAACATCATGCACTCGTCTTCTTCCTCTTTGGAGGATGATGATGTCACCAAGTTCCACTTCGTTCCCCCCCTCTCTCTCTCTCTCTAGTGAAGTGATTTCCAGGTAGTGAGAATGAGAATAAACAGCTGGGCTTCTTGTTACGGCATAATATTCTTGGATCACTTTGGCGTTACAACCGGTAGTGGGAGACGCACGAGAGCTCACCAACCCTGGGCTTGGAGCCACTACAGACAGGATAGAGGTCAGTGATCAAGTCGGAAGTGACAGGAGAGGAGAAGCGCAGCATCTGGAAGCATTGCATCTGGAAGTTAGGGTTCTTATCATCAGCAGCTCATACGCTGAACGATCTGCTACAGTAAATTAGACTGAAGTCAGCTGTTTGTCCACACCCGACTGTAGGAAACTGTGGAAGGACAAAGGCTAAACAAGAACAAGAGCCAGAATAATTTAGTCATTATATTTGATTGGATTGGGTCAGGGAAGTGCGGACCAATTGGGATTTGCCCTTGCAGCATGTGTAATATCTAAATTTGGCAAAATGTCAAATTCCAGAACTATTTATTAATCAATTTCTTTATAAAATATTTATGAGAAAATATTAAAATTATAAAAATATAAGAAATAGTTCTAAATAGGGATTAAGTATGAAAGAATTCGACTGATCGAGGTTAAAACTCATATATTTATCACCCAATTCTAGAATAGAATATCCTTGAAATTATCATAATATTTTTAGTTAAGTTATTCCCTTGAGCCATTCCTCCTCGTCTAAGCCTAGACTATTTTGTCTTAAATAAAAAAAAAAAGCATGCCGGATACTCTTTTCTTCTTGATTTGTTTTCCTAAAAAAAAAACCTAATAAAATGATGGAAAATATATTGATATACTTGATTTAGCTCGTGGATTATCATCATACATATTTTTTAGTAGTAGAAAAAGATCCATAGAGTACTGTTATTGTCTCTAATTAACCTAGCCTATTAGGATTAGTTGTCATAAATCACAAGTTTGAGTCTTAATTGCATTCTTGATTTGCAACTAATAGATCACACCAAACTCACCCACCCTAATCTTTTTCCTTTCTCCCCATGTTTTTTCTTCCCAACCTGACCTCAAAAGACACCTGTATAAATATCATGGTTAGACAAGGAATGTCTATCAGGATTTGTGGTGTGAGGAGAGATACATGAAAGAAACAAAAAAAGTTAATTCAAACCAATGAAAATATAAAATAAAAATTTCTTGATTTGGCTTGGGAAAATGATCACACATACATTTCAAAAGATCATTACAGTATTATTGTTGTCTATAATCAACAATCTAGTTGGTTTCCCTCGCATAATTACTGCTGAAGGCAGGGATGGATCAATCAATCAATCAGGTGGGACATAACTTGGTCTGTTTCCACTCTCTCCAAAGCCTGTTCATATATCTTGTGAACATCAAATGTCCACCTCAACGGGTCGGGAAGTGAGCTCGATTTGATAACTAGGTTTGAAATGATGTTGTTTTATGTGGTCTGAATAAAGAAGTGGCTTTTAAGGAGGTGGGAGATGGATAGTTGGTGCCTTATGCCTTGGTCTTTTCTCATATTTAAAAACTCAATAACGTGAGTGTTACACGTGTGATACGATACGTTATTTATTTATTTATTTATTATTATTATATTTTTTATTTTATATTATTTATTATATATATATATATTGTGATATTCATGGATATATGAAATGAGAATCGGATTATGATGATATCACGATAATGAGACCGATTCACCTTTAAACATAGATCCTAAATAATCTCGGTCATAGATTACTCGAGAGGGACATTGAAATAATCGGACAGACTAGTGTATTATATACCTATCCATATGATGGAGATGGTTAGTCTCATAGTTGCTCGTGTGGGGATACTAGAGATATGATGCAAGTGCTCATTGGAGAATGAGTTTACTAATTGACTTGCTCACGGAATGCTGGATGGTTGATGATGCTTCATTGTCAAATAACGATTTTATCGTTCCAGTGGTGTATCTGATCCTTAGATCAAGGATACCAAGAATGTCCTGTATGAGTACTCAACTCTTTGATATCAGACTTATAGGTCTGGAACTTCCAAATCTAGCACAACCGGTAATCGGGAGTGACAACTAACCTTACTACTAGTCATAGGCGTCATATAAGTCAATTACGTGAGTAATGACATGTGTGTCATAACACTTAATCTTTTTGCTTGTTATTATTATGACATTCTCTTATTTTATATTGCTTGTTGCATATATATATTTATTGTGACGTCGATGGATTTGTGCAATAGAAATCAAGTCGCGATGAGATCACGATAATAAGACTGATTCACCTTTAAAGACAGATCATAAATAATCTCGGTCATAGGTTACTTGAGAGAGACATCGAGATAACCAAACAAATTGGTATACTATATACACATTTATATGATAGAGGTGGATGGTCTCATGGCTACTTGTGTGGGGACACTAGGGATACAGTGCAAGTGCTCATTGGAGAATGAGTTCACTGATTGATCCGCTTACGAAATATTGGATGGTTGATGATACTTCATTGTTAGATAACGATTTTCATCGTCCCAATAGTGTACCTGGACCGTAGACTTGAGACACCAAGGATGTACTATATGAGTACTCTACTCTTTGATACTAGACTTATATGTTTGAAAGTTCTAGATCTAGTACAACCGGTTATTGGAAGTGATAGCCAACCTTACGAGGGCTATTGAGTATCGATAGAGAATCATTCTCTCTTGGTATCATGAGAGTAATATTTTGTGTGTTTTTGCTTAGATAAATCCTTGCCAAGGTTATTCAAGGTTATTCAGATTGAGAGAGAAAAAGTTATCTATGAGAATTCGATTAGAGCAAGACTTGATGAGAAACCGTATGGGTCTGACAACACCATGCCCAATATACGATCTCTGAGATATTAAATGGATGAAGGACTATAGATACATGATAACTGAGGACATATAGGTCCAAATGATTTAATTTCCCTATATCGTCTAGGGATTGCGACGTAGTGGCATAGTACTATTAAATCTCAATTTCCTTATATCGTCTAGGGATCACAATAGTAATTTTTATCGCTATACTAATTCACCCTCTCCTCTTAGTGTCACATTGATCCCAACAAGTACGTATACAGTCGATGAGTCGAGTGAATTATTATGAAGTAATAATTTACTAAGCCAGAACGAGTTTTAACATGTATAACTCACGGCCAACTCGATATTGGGTCTAAAAGGTCACACACATATGATAGGCGTTGTGACGAGTAAAGGTTCGGATATGAGATATCCGTCGGAGCCCCTTTCTTATTGGATATCCAATAAGCTCCTGAATTATTAGATCTCATGAATGAGATCCAATAAGAGCTAATAAGAGATTATTGGATAGAGACCCACTTATTTAAGAGGCTTGGGTAATTGGATGAAGATTCAGTACCCAATAGGGTATGATCCATTAAGGTTAGATTAACTGAGGGCTTCTTTAAATAAGAAGGAACCAAAGACCCATAGGTTGGGGCTTCTTAGTTACCACATCCTATTCTCCTTTCCCCTTCTCCTCCTCAAATAGTAGGTATGAAGATTTGGGCAGCGATTTGAGAAGCATTGTTGTAGCCTTGCTGTGTGGATCACCGCCAAAAAGGATGACGCTTGACCTCCTTCATTCTCTCCTATAAATCTGTAGTGATTCAGGGATATACGATCTCCCTAGATAACACAACTATCTCATACGTGGCTTTTTAGTTTTGTGAGTTTTCGTACACCAATCTTTACACGACAACGAACATTTTTTTGAAAAAATTGGGGTTTTTTGTTTTTTGTTCTTTTGTTGCACATGTGATGTCACCCTTAGATTTCTTAACACTTATAAGGGCTATTGAGTGTCGATAGAGGATCATCTACTCTCAGTGTCATGAGAGGAATATTTATATGTTCTTGCTCAGACAAATCTCTGACCAGAGTCATTCAGATTGAGAGAGAAAGAGTTTTCTATGAGAATCTGATTAGAGTGAGACTCGAGTAGAAACCATATAAGCCTAATAGCATCATGCCCGATATATAGTCTTTGAGATATTAGATGG